AGAGAGAGAGAGAGAGAGAGAGAGAGAGAGAGAAAGGGAGTAGCGAAGCATGCAAATCAAATCAATGAATCGAAGGAGAAAGTGATAGCGCGTCGCGGTTTTGTGAATGAGAGCGTACAGAACCGACGTTAATGTACTCTTCGCCACTCATTGATCGTCTCTCGCATTGTGACCATTGTCGCGCGTTCATGTCGCAGCAATTAATACAAACCCATTAGCCGCGTGCTGTAATGCGATTGCCAACGAACGTTTAATCGTTGCAACCAACGAATATTGTAGAAAATCGTGGCTTCAAAAGGATAATATTTTAGGATTCGTACTATGTGGTACAAGAGCAGCTTTTATTTTTCAGTCATATGTTTTAAAACATATAGAGCACTTTCGACGTAATGATACGAGGAATAATTCTACATGCAAGAATAACATTCTTTATTTAATGCTTTTGTGCTTGATACTTGAATATTTGAGTCTACCTAATTTCGAATTGGAAAGTCAGTTTAAAGCAACGTTTAATTAGACTTGGCACACGTATATCTTACTTGACAAATTTTCATACTTGATCTTAAAAAAAATGTCGTTCTTTTCTCTCAACTTATTTTTCATTTTCGATTCACTTTCTATGTACGATTGTACCATGATTTCAAAGATAATAACTTATACGTGAGAGTCTATATGTTGGACTTTTGGAGTTGGACACTTTAGTAACTATAAGCCGACTGTATCGGAATTTTTTGACAATCGACGCAACAATCGCGCATAAGAATTCTTCTTACTTTCTTTTTTAACGATAGTTCCGCCGTGTCCGGAATCATTCTTGAGGAACCATAATATTACCACGATTCTCTCTACGCATAAGCTGCATCGGCCTTACTGCAATCCTTCGCCGCCGTTGGTTGTTTCTAAATCTATTCTGTTCCTCTGTGAACACCGGCGACGAAGATCAGGGCACAGGCAGGGCGAAAAAGCAGGAAGAACGGAGCGGAGCGGGTGAGCAGAACCAGAGCCAGCGGAAACTTTTCCCGTGCAAAGTACCACGCGGACTGGCTCGAGGTTATGAAATTCTGATGGCTCATAAAATGTAAGAAAATTTACAGACTTCGCCCCTCCGCGCTCTGCGTCTTTCTCTTCGTTTCTCCTCTGGCCTGGGTCTCGCAGTCGTCGGCCTTCTTGCCGGTGGTGCTTCGTTTCTCCTTCGTTTCTCCTTCGCGGTGCCGCCGCCGCCGCCGCCGCCGCCGGCTTTGCGAACTCGATGGAAGAACCAGCTGGAGGGCGCAAAAGGGGACGTCGGTGTAAAGTTTAAAACTCGTGGCAATCGATTAGGAGGAGAGGAGACCCGCGGCTCGTTCGCTCTGCCTCGTTGTTTCTCTTCGACTTGAACACCTTTTTTTCCTCGAGTTCACGCGAGACTCGTTTTCGACTCGTTTGGTTTCAACTCGTGCCGTTGTAAGCTCGATAACGTTACCACTTAATGGAAGGAGATACCGATTTCGTGGATTTTAACTACCCAGACGAGAGCCAAACGAGCGTCTCTGGCTGCGGGTAATGAATTTGAATGAACGACGGTATATAGCAATTGCGAGACGTGTCTTTCGAGAGCCAAATCTCTCTATCACTGGTTAAATTGTTGCCGTTTGATTGAAATCGATGAACACAGTCTTCGAATATTGGCAACCATCGGTAGAGTGTCTTTAGATCGGTAACGGGCACGAAGTTTCAAATGGAGATTTAAAACGCGCGGTGATTTAAGCGGCGATTCCGCCGCCGTGCTTTTAGTTTCATACGACTACTAAAAGAGATTTAGAACGTTAGAGGTTCACTAGAATTCAATTCTTCTCGTTCGCATCCTCGAGTTTAAATAAACTTCCTGTTCCGGGGACACGACGTCAAGGGCCCGTTTCACCCGTTTTCTCTCCAATCAAAATCTTCTCGTGTCGACCAGTATCGAGAAAGGGTTAATTAACAGCAGCCAAATGAATAAGACTTGATCAGTGGAAATTACGCGAGGATCGGCACAAAGGACGATGGCCGAACTATTTTCGTCTATTATCGGAACTTCTCGAATCACAGACCCCTTCCTTGTACACTCTTTCGAGCAGTCTAGACGTTTTGTGAGGCTGCAGACATTGACGAGACGATCATCTGAACTGTTAGATATCTGGCCGTAGAGAACAATTTCAATCACACTCCCTCCCCTCGCCTCCCTCTCCGTTGATCAGAATTTTCGATCTTTTAAACAACTTCACTTCGTCAATCGAAATTTTCAATATTAAAATTTGAAGCCTATATGTGTAATAAAGGAAGACTATCGCAGAAAATAGGATCTTCAATTCCAAAAATTATTGTATAATAAATAGCAGTGAATTATACAAAAAGATGTTTCTATATTGTGGATTTCTAAGTGAATTTACTTTTCTGGACGTAGTTAAAAACAGATAAAAATAGATAAAAATTTTATAAAACGCAGCATCGTGTTTCCTATATAAAGATAGGCTTGAAAATTTTCTATTGCTTCTTCCCAGAATTCATCATCGCAATCAAAGCTGTGTAAGAATCTGTCAAGCAAATTTAACGTGAAAACAATAAAAAAAATCCTTGGTCGCGCAACGTGTCGAGTGAATCGTATTGAAAATTTTCCTCGACTGGGTGTAACGGGGAATCTTTAGGCAACGACACTCGCCAATCTCGCGCATATAATTATGTATAAAGACGACGACGACGACGACGACGAGGACGAGAACGACGATGGGGCCGGAGTTAGCGAGGCTGATGGTGGTGATGGTGGTGGCTCGCCGCTCAAAATACGTCTAAATATTAATGAGCTGTCCCTGCCTACGGCGTACCACCTTCGTTTGGGCATTCATGCTTTCCTCAGACGGTGGCTACGTATAGGTGGGCCGACGAACGCGTCGAAAAGTGTGTGTTGGTGTAAAATTAACGCGGTGGAGGGTCGGCCGGTTGTTCGTTGTCACGACGCGTGTGTGTCAGATACGAAATACCTGTGGAGCGGAGTTTGAACAACAGTGTCGAACGATAACTGTGGTTTTCTGTCCACGTTCTTGAATAACGCCAGGAACGTTGTTGAACAAATGGAGCAATTTCATTGATCGATGCGGAGCTCTTTCCTGGATACGGAAACAATAGACGTTTTTAAATGTGCATTTCCAATTTATAGGTGGTAGAAAATAGCGGTGGTAGTTGAATGGAAATCGGTTTCTAGTCCCAGAGGCAGTAAGTAAGTGACGGTGCGGTATAACTTTATTTTCCACGTGTGTCAGTAGTGTGACTGGTAGATAGACGTCTCAATATCGTGCTTGTAATTATAAATAGCAGCGCAAGAAATAAATCTCAGTATTGAATATTATGCAAGTATTGTGAAGTACAAAGTGTAATTTAAGTGATATTTAGCTCTTGGAATAATATTTGTTGGCCACTGTCTATTGTTTGGCGTAATCTGTCGTTAAGTAGAATTAGTCAGTATATGATCGGACGTAGATATTCTGGATATTAAATTAAGGTTAAGTAACAACTGATTGTACTAATTACTGTTCATTTTATTCAATATTTTATATTCTCTCTGATAAACATTAAAGAATGAAAAAGCTTGTAATTCCTGAATTAAGCAAATTACTGTGATTCCTAATGTTCAACGATGACTATGATACTTAATGAAGAATTAATACAATTATATTATATTTTTAATTAT